GGTGGTGGCTGGGATGGCACAGGTGACCATGTCCAGGACCAGGCTGAGCTGGGCCTGCAGGGGTCAGAGGGTGTCACAAGCTGAGGAGAGGACAGGGAAAGGTGAGGGTGGCCAGGGGCAGGGGAAAGGGGCCCAGATGTCCCCATGCCTCCGGGGAAGCAGGAAATTTGGATCTATTACAGGAAGACCTGTGGTTTCAAAGCAGGGCTTCCAACCTGTTGCTTTGACTCCATGCTCCCCCCAGGAATTTACATTTCTACCTCAGTCCCAAAAAGCCGGGATTCAAGAAAGTGGGTGACAATCTGCCGTGAGCTTGTCATTCCACTTTCCCCCCATAAACTGTTTGAAGCCTCTCCTGCTCAAGGACCCCAGGTGATTGATTCTTAGGGTTACATGCACATCTCTGGAATCCATGCTCTATCGTGGACCTAGAGCAATCACGGGGGTCTTGTTCAGCTGTCCGTTCTGATTCTGTTTATAAAGGCACATTCTGATGCAGGCTGTCTGTGCCTGTAAGGACTTAGCGCCTCAGAAACCCTGTATCATCGGGTGGCTAGGAGTCAGAATCGACCTGCCCTTGCTTTGGAGGGTGTCAGGGGCAGATCCTCTGTACCACTGAAGGGGACACTGCAGGCCCCATCTGGGGTGGAAAGGCAAAGCCGCTGGTCAGCTGGGAATGAACTTGTGGGAAGAAGCAGCCCATTTGAAAGCATTAGGAATTAAGAAAGAGACAAAGCCCAAAACTGCCTCTTGGGCAACTAGAGCCACCTGCTGCCTCTGCTAGGGACCCTGGGCTGGTCCCCCCGGGGAAAAGGCTGACCTCGGAAATGGACTCCTGGTGGACTCCTGGGACCAGTGGTTTTGCTGTGCCTGTCATGTGGTCCCAACCGGCCCCTTTGCCCTCTCTGAGCCGGAGCTTCCTGGCCCTTAGGGGAAGCGCCTGGGTTCCCACGCTGTAGACACAGAGTGTGACTAAGCCCCTCCGGCTCCAGGAAGATGCGGTTATTATAGATGTGACTCTTCCCCAAGCGGCGCTTCTGGGGACGCATGCCTTCTGTGTGTGTGTGTGTGTGTGTGTGTGTGTGTCCCCATCCACAGTCACACGATGTCATGCCTTCTGATCAGTACATGCCACAGTGTAAATATCATCTTCCTACTAGCCCTGCCTGGGAACCTCTCATCAGCCGGTCTGGAGGCTGCTGGAAACCCTTCTGTCATTTGCCCAGTGACAACTGAAGGGAGGGACGGGTCGTTCTGTTTTGCAGAGAAACCCAAGCCCAGAGCCTGGAGGTGACTTGGCTAACCCAGCAGCACTCGGGACCTTGGCTCAGTGTTGGCTGGGCGTCTGCCCTGCGTCCATCGGGGGATGGTGAGGCCCCAGCAAATCAGAAAGACCGTGCTGGTACAGGGTCGGCTCCCAGCCCACCACAGTTTGAGCCCCCTGGATCTTCCCATGGGGGGAGCCGAGCGGAGCCCAAGCCCCGTTCTGGGCTCTGTTGCCTACATCTCTCCAGCGGCTCTTGCTGTCCGGTCCAGGACCTCTGAATCTAGCAGGCCTGTGTCGCCCCAGCCCTCTGACATTGGCCTTTCGCAGGAACACGCTCACCCACCGGCCTTCGCAGGGGCCCACTGTGCGGTGTGAGCGGGGAGAACCAG